TAGTTTTTTTTTTTTCCAAACAGATTGATAAGTAGAGCCAAGAGCGAGGTGGATTTTAGTCGAGGTCAAACAGGAGGCCGTCAACACTTGAATGTTTTTTGTGGAAAAACAATTTTATACTTTCAACCTTGCGTTTATGCATAAAAGTTTCACAGTAGGAGCCTTCAAATTGTATCTTTTGAAAAAGGCTTCTTGAGGTAAATTTTTTTTTAAATGAGATGAAAGTTCTGCAATGGAGTTAAACTCAAAGCAGTCTGCTCCTCAGATAAATAGTGTTAAATTATTATTTATATATATGAATGTTTCTGTTCAGTGCCCTGAGATGACTTCTGTTTTGACTTGGCGCTATATAAATAAACTGAATTGACTTGAAACATAAAAAAAACCCCCCACAAACTTTTGAAAACGATGTCATAGCCCCACATGTAATGTGACCTTTGACCTGAGGACATCCTTTTCTTGAAGCATTTACATTCCAAACCAAACTCTGGGCAGACTCCACGCCTTGTTTCCTGTTTTTGGTGTAATTCTGTGGCACTGTTGCATACAAGTCGGTTACAGTTATTACATTGTTTTGGGTCATTTTGGGTGTTTTTGTGTGGATGAAGACATTTATTAAAACTGTTTACAAGGATATTTTAAAAAATGACAAATAAAAAATAGTTGCTTTGGCTGTGTAGACAAGGCCTAAGATCTGGTGACTGGTTTTTCCAGTGCTGTCTTACAAAACACGTGCCTGACTTCATTCAGTCAAAAAGCACTTTCCTATCATTCAGCTCTCCAGCTCTGACAAAAGCTGGGCTCTTTGTGTGACACGTCTTTGTGTTAAGCACTGTGAATGGTATAAAGGCTCTCAGTCATTATTTTAAAGCAGATATTTTCTGCCATATTCACTGTGGTAAAGAATTGTCTCACACTCCATGGGTGCCTAATTGGCTCCATCTCATAAATGAATAAAAATCAAGTGGGTTTTTTTTTTTTGGCTTAACTTCCTGTTTTTATTTTGATCTTTTTCATCCTGAAACAACATCCATTCCAAATATTTCATAGGAGTTCAGTCAAATGGAACTTTTTGAGTTTGTGCTTTGCCATCAATTTTTGCATTTCACCTTGATCCCTTTAAAATATTATGAAATTATGAGACATACCGTACTATTATTATGCTGCTCCTACATTTTGCACGTTCAAATAACCATTGAATAGGATGTAAATCTATGCAATGACAACAATTTTACTAAATAGCATTTGCATGAATTGCTATTATCCTTTTTGAGATTGGCGTTCTTGTAAACAAGTAAATCTTTCTTTGATTATGTATTTTGCATATATGTGAGCTTATGGTGAGAGATGGTTGCATATTGTGCCTGTTCCATTTTAAATCTGGTCCCTTGATTCCTTTAACTAGGTCTAAACATCCCTCTGAGAAAAAAAACAAAGTTTTCCACTACAGGTTTAGATTCTTCTGTTGAACTGTTCTGTATTCAGTTCCTGCCTCCACAGACACCTTTACAAACTGTTTCAATCCATCTGGTTTGTATTTATCATTACTGATTCGCATAAATGGGGATACAGACAGAAAACAGGTGGGGTAAATAGACGTATAGCGTTCAACAAGGGTTAAAAATACTTAAGTTTTACCTCAAGTTACAAGAGTAAAACAAATTTTATTGTCTTTCATGGTGAGGTGTAATTTTAACTTACGCTATGCTTCATTGTTTGAGGCCTTTGCGGCCTCAACAAACCCATCTCAGTTGTCTTGGCACGAGCACTCGATGACATATGACAGAAGCCCCTGCCATCAATAGTGGTACTCTGCGATGTCACCATGTGAATGTGTGAAGACATGAGCATGGGTCAGACAGAGAAGCCACTTGAGCCACTTGCATCGGACAATAGGTTCCTAGTGTACAAAGCTCTAAAAGCCATTATTCCTACTTACTAATAATCTCTTATGAGTCGACATCCTTATTATATTGGCTCCGTGCACTGTCACTCTTTTGTATTTGGAAACTTAAATGTTTGTGGGCATTTAAGTGTCGACTGTACCCACTGAGGACGCATTTATGGTTGCTGGCCTCAGGCTTGTGGAAACAAAACCCTTCGATGGTACCACTGCCACTGTGGGGTGAGTGAATGCACTTTGCTGGTGACTCCAGTGGGTGAACTTTGTCAGCTGAAGCAGATGGTTTAGTCTTTCTGGTTTGCAGCTAATCTTTTATTTTAGTTTTTTGCTCTTGCGTATACGAGCTGTTTCTGTTGGAGTGTGTCTTGATTTCTTTCAGGATGCTGAGATAAGTATGGGAACAGCTGTAAGGTGAGCAGAAATCCATCAAATACAGCTTTATTAAAGTATTATTTTGGTACAACTAGACTGCAGATGGATTATGTTATCTTTACAGCAACAGAAGAATGACTTTTGGCTGTTTTTATTACCATTTAGAAGGATTATTTAAAGCTGACTTGAGGAGGCGTGAGACCGTTGCTGTTTATAGATACAGAAGATGCAAATCAGGAGGTTTAGAGAGAAATCCCTGAGGTCTGACTGGATGAAGTCATCCAAAGCAAGAAATAAAAGTAGTGCAAACATGAAGAGAATTATGACAATTATGACAGTGAGATAACAAATCACAGTAAACAGCTGCCACCAGTTTGTTACAACTGGGATTTTAATCACCTTCCTCTTGAAGCTGTTAGTATTTTTTCATTCTGAGGGTTATATTCACAGTTTATCTGTGTTGTCACATTGTTTTCTTCTTCTATGATTCTGTATCTTACATAAAGTTTAACTTGTACAATTTGTTCTGAAGAGCATATAATGATTTTAAACCAACATGTCGGATCATTTGAAGTGAGATTCTATAGAAAGGTTCTGAATATTGAAAAAAAAAAATGTGGTAAAAAATCTCTGTAATGCCACTTTGATTGATGATATGTGCTGCTGACTATCCATGTTGCTGATCTCATGCTGCTGATTTATTTCACACTGCTGTGTTCATTCGTACTCACCTGCTCACACAGACTCATGTTCATGCTGCTGTTCGGTGTATTGTTTTTGTACTACTAGTGCTTAGTGTATTTTTAGTTTAGCACATTTCTTAGTTCATATCTTAGATCTTATGACTGTTTTTCTTTACAATTTATACTTTTGTTGGATGTAACTGGGACCCTGTGTACACAATTTCTTTCCACCACATGTACCACTTGTGCGAATGACAAATAAAGAAACCTTAAACAATTAATATTGTATCTGTAAATAGCTTTATGAATGACCTCAGTCTTTAGAAATACAGTTAGCCTCTCAAAAACCATAATGGCTTTACTATGTAGCTAAGACAGAAGACCAAAGCCAAGGCTGACATTTTAAAACAACTCCAAGCTCTAACAATTTATAGCGTTTCATTCAAATTCTATTTTACAACCTTCACACTACTGTCAGTCTCTCATTAGTCATTTATGCAGAAACCTGTGTGTTAGGGAATTTTTGGTTAAAGGTTATGGATGTTTTTATTACTATGACTGAGAATGTTAGCTCTGCCCATGAACCATATGTTTGGGTTAGCGGGAAGAGCTGGATGGGGAGATGAGTGAGGCTACAGCATGCAGCTGTCATGAGCTTGACTGAACTGATAAGAATATAAAAACAAGCTTTGCAGATGGCTCGTGGCTGATTCTCGTGACTGGTCTTCATGTGCGTACTTTCTGTATATCTGTGTAACCTGTCCTGAAAGTCTGACCTTGCAAGTAAATATCGGTTAAAAATCTTCTGCTGTCGAGTGTAGTTCCTTTTGCGTAAGTAAGATAAAGAGAGAAACACTGTGGGTAAAAGCAAGTGTAAATAGCAGCAGCGCAAGCTAGGTGTAGCTTTTCCATGGTAGCTAGCAGCAATTCATTCTGAAATTTAAAATTCCGGCCAAAATATTTGTAAATTGCAAAAATGATGGCAGTGTTAAGATAGTTAAAAATGCATTAGAACAAACCTTAAATAGTTTTTTGTTAGTCATA